GCCCCTTTACTTGGAAAAGCAGCAGAACAAGCTCCCAGTCAGATATTTCTGCAGTTTTGCTCCAAGCCAATTTTCCCCTTCTGCCTTTTATTCCAAAACCAAATTTTCATCTCATTCAATGCCACCTGAATGCAACCAAACTTCACATATTTGTCCAGAAACGCTATCCAGGCTCCGACATTCCAGTCTTCCTTGGTCTGGGATCCAGCATTCCTTGCCTTTGGCTGCCCCAGCCCATGTTATGCCTGCCTTTCTTGGGATTCCCAGTGATTTTTATTGTCTGAATAATTGACTCTGGCAAGGAACTACATAGCTTTCTTATTCCGTTGTTAACACATTTCACATGTTGATATTTCTTCTTCTTACACACCGAGAAGACCCTTCAGGGCGAGCATTGCTGTGCAACTCTGGCTCTCCGGCTTCCAGCCCTGTGTGGACTGGTAGAGCCCAGTGTGGACGGGCTGTGCATTGCTGAGTCACAAACCATCCCCAGCAAGTCTTCTCATTCTGCTTTTTTTGTGTCCCACAAAACACACTTCAGAATTAGCTAGAGTCAACTTAGCCCCCCAAGACCCTCTCCAGAGTGAAACAAGCACCTACTGGCTACCAGAATCTTTACCTAGGAAAACTGGCTGGTGATGGCTCAGTCCCAGCTCGGGCTAGTCATTTCCTGTGCTGGTGACCAGTGACCTAGTGCTGAAGGCATCTTGTTACCATCATCTTGAGTAATGTGGCTTTAAACACACATCTGCCTACCTCCACATGTATCTGTTTTCATATGCACACCAGCCCACAAGCAACAAACAGCAATGATGTTACCAGGTGCATGAGAAAGGCCACCGAGGGTGGTAGAGAAGCAACAAGATTTGGAAAGTTTGTTTGAAAACCGCCTCTTCTGGAGAGACATAAAAAGGGGAAATGTGGATGAAGGGAATTCAAGACTTTTTGTGCTATTTTTGTAGCTTTTATGTAGGCCTACAATTACCCTGAAGATTTTAAAATATTGCGAAACAGAAATGACAACAAAAACATCACCTTGTTTATATAGTTCCTCTCTCTTCTTCTGTCTTTAATTAAGGAGTTTTTTTTTTCAGCACATCCTTTTTCCTATTTTAATAACTTTTTTTTCACTTTTTATAAAAGTAGAAGTGATTTTTATTATTTTCCATGATACTTTTTTGTAGGTAAAGGGATTTCCTTCTTGCCCTCCCCTTTCTCCTTCCTCATTTTGCCCTCCTCCTGTTTATTCTCATTTTCTTACACTAGTATAGTCTGCTATTTAAGTACATCATGGCATGGTAGTTATAGGGAACGATAGAATAGCTAGTAATATATTGTAAGGTATACTTAATTTTTTCACTGGGAGTCCTCCGTTTACTAGGGAGTAGGGATGCTGACTGTGGTGTATCTTCACTTCTTGGTATGCTAGTCTTCATTATACAGTTCATCTAGGAGAATATATGTATATATTTATCTATTTATTTTACATTTTGCATGAATGTTACCTGATATCAAAGAGATATCTGCTCCTTGTTCTTTTTGAATCAACTTATTTCACTGAGCATAATGATTTCTAGCTGGGACCATTTTGTTGCAAATGGTAGAATTTAACCATTTTTAATGGCTGTGTAGTATTCGATGGAGTAGATACCACGGTTTCTTTATCCATTCCTCTTCCAGTCGGTATCTAGGTTGCTTCCATGTCTTTGTTATTGTGGACTGTGCTGCTGTAAATATAGGGCTGCATCTTGCTTTCTTGCATACAGATTAAACTTCTTGGGATATACTCCCAGGAGTGGCTTGGTCATACAGCTATCCATTTTCAGTTCTCTGAGCACTCTCTATAATGACTTCCATAGTGGCTACACTAGCCTACACTCCCAGCACATCCTTATTGTTGTGTATACTTATTTGAAGGGATTGGTTCCAAGTTCTCCTCAGATACCAAAATCTGTGGATACTCGTGTTTCTTATATAAACACTTTGTATTTGCTTAAAACCTACACACTCTCCAAGACACTTCAAACCATCTCTACTTAAAGTACTTAATACAAAGCTACATATCAATTCATTCACATGGGTTCAGTAACTACACCAAACCACTTGACTAACACACTCCAAATTTAAGTTTTACTTTTTGGAACTTTTTAAAAAGATTTATTTATTTTTTATTGGAAAGATAGATTTACAGAGGGAACAGAGACAGAAAGAAAAAAATCTTCCATCTACTGATTCAGTCTCCTATTGACAGCAATGAGCAGAGTTGATCTGATTGCAACCCAGGAGCCAGGAGCCTCCTCTAGGTCTCCCACGTGGGTACAGAGTCCCAGGGCTGTGGGTCATCCTCACTGATTTTCCCAGCCACAAGCAGGGAGCTAGATGGGAAGTGAGGCCCTCAGGACATGAACCAGTGCCCGTATGGGAGGCCAGTGTGTGCAGGCAGAGGATTAGTCAATTGAGCCATCCCACCAACCCCTCTGTATTTTTTTAAGATGTGTAATTATTTTCTGGAAGGTACAGAGACAGAGAGATAGATAGAATTAGACACAGAGGAGATTGATTGAGATCCTCCATCAATTGGTTCACTCACCAAATGGCCACAATATCAGGGGCTGAGCTAAGCTGAAGCCAGGAGACGGGCCCTCTACCCAGGCTTCCCACATGGGTGGCAGGGCCAAGTACCTAGGCTATCTTTCATTGTCTTTCCAGCATGTTAGTAGGGAGCTGCACCTAAAACAACGGACTTGGGTTTGGCACATCAATATTGGATGCTGGTGTTGCAAATAACAACTAACCCACTGTGCCACAACATCAGCTCCTCCAGAATTGTGGTTAAATAATATTTTCCAGTGGGTATAATGCTTGGCCTACCAGTTAACACAGTGGACATATCCATATTGCATCTCTGAGTCCCTGAGTTTGAGCCCTGGCTCTGTTCCCAATTCCAACGTCCTGCTGGTACTTTCTGGGGCTAGCAGGAGTACCAGCTGGTGGCTTTTAGAGTTTGCTTTCCTGCAATTCATACTGGAGGGAGACCCAGACGGAGTCCCAATCCCTGTTTACAGTCCCTCCCAAGGGCCTGGTCACTCTGGGCACTTGGGCAGCACAGCAGCTGATTGAACATCTTGGCCTCTCTCTCTCATCTTTTTCTCTCTGACTTTATCTCTTAAATACACACACACACACACACACAGACAGACATATACAATATATGCATTTCTAAGTACAATTGATTAAATTCATGATTGCAGAACCCATGAATATGGAAGGCTGACCTCATGCCCCATATTAGACAAGAAGTATAAGGTGGAAAATAAAATTATTCAGAAAGAAATCTTTCAGTACTTGACCACATAAAATATTATCTATAATATTCTAATATAATTATGCATGGAATAATATTTTTAAACCTTAAATCACAAATAACACCAGCACGGGTATACATATGCCTTACCACTTTGTGATCTCAGGCAAGATTCTGAACCCGAAGTTGCAGTTTTCTTCATCTTGATAATGAAACAAAAAAATGCCTCTGCCTTAGCTTTGTCATGAGCATTAAATAAAATGATAAATATCATGTAGTTAATGTGGTTCCTGGCCCATGGTGGTGTCCTTGATATACTAGCTCCAAAGCTTTTAAAAATGTCAATTACTAAGTTCCTTTCCCGTTGTGTCCTTGACACCTTACAGAGCATCTGCACAGGCGGGATGCATGCTAAGTAGTTAGGGAAGGAGGGGAGGGGGTGCGGCAACAGCAAGTCCGCAGTGGTACTGGAGCTCCAAGGACAGTCCCTGCTCTGGCCAGCCTTTAAGTCACCCCTCCAGGCGTCAGCGTTCTCCCGCCGAAGATGGGGCTGGTTTTCTCGCTGGCTGGAAAGGAACGACCCAATTGAGAGCGCTGGAAGAGCTGGGCAGAGTTGGGCGGGCGTCTGACCAGCCTTGGAGGGGCTGATCCCTTCTTCAGGGAGCCCGGGTTCTCAGAACTCTCGCCCCAGCCCAAGGCACCGGCTGCGGAGAGGCCGAAGGTGAGCGGCCGTGCGCAGCCGCCTCAGTGCGGCCCGAGGAGAAGCCCTAGGGGGACGTGCAGACACTGCGACGGGGCAGTGTTCAGAGAGACCCCGACGGTGCGGGACACCAGCTGCAGGAAGCAGCGACCTGAGCTGGGTGCTCACCGCCCTTTCTTCCCCTCTCTCCCCACCTCCCCGAAGGGCAGCAGGGGCCTACCCAGGCGCGCTGAGGGCCCGTGCGCCTCAGCCAAGGGGTCGTGGCGCGCTGGGGAGCCGAGAGGGGACACCCCGCCCTCCGCCTCTTTTTCTTCCCCAAGGGGATTGATACATGTTGACCGAGGTCACTGGCACAGAGGTTTATTCAGACGCTTCTTAGGAAACCCCACGCTTCTGAGGTGGCGGCTCGCCTGGTCTGCCCGCATCCAGTAGCAAAAAGAAGCCAATGCAGACAGCTGGTGAGGAACGGCCGCGAGGTACCCGACGGCCGTCAGGGCCAAAGGACTGCCCAGAGCCCGTGGTGTGGTATCTCCACTGCCCGCTTCCCCCGACAAAGTCCGAGGGCGAGGGCACGGGAGAGGAGCACGAAGCCAAGAGACCGTAGAAGGACAGGAAGGCAGCGCGCGAAGTGCTAGAGGAGAGAGGCAGGGAGAGAAACTGAGGCAGAAAGCTTGCGAGAGAAAGAAGTGCCGAGTGAAGGAACAAGCGAGGACCGCGGGGAGCGGCAACCGGGCCTCACCCCCAAAAGTGGCCGATTCTCGCCTACTCCGAGTCAGCCCCAAGCAGCGCGGGCGCCTGTCGCAGCCAAGCCGCCCCCAGGCCGCCCCAGCTCCCTGCCCGGGCCTCGCTCCTGGCCCCGGCCGGCCTCCCCTGGCCGCCTGCGGGCAGACCGGCCCCCGCGCCAGCCCCCAATGCTGCAGGGAGGAGGGAGCGCGAGCGAGCGAGGGAGGGGCTGCGGGAGGAGGCAACCATGTGGCTCCAGCTCAGCTTTTTCCCCCCTCTCTCTTTCTTCACTCCTTTTTCTTTCCAAACAGGGAAAAGTGTTCCACGAAGCGGTAGCGCCTTTCTGCCTCGCCTGTGTCTCCCTGACCCTGCTGCGGGCTTCCGTCCCCGCGTGAGCTGTTCGGGAGAGCGCTGGAAGACCCTCTGCGCCCCAGAGCGCAGGGCGCGGGGATCCGGACGCGGGGCCGCCTCCCGCGGCCGCACATGGCTGCGGCCGCCCCGCGCGCACCCCGAGGCACCGCGCCCTGCTCGCCCAAGGTGCGTCTGCTGCACCCCGCCGCCAGGGAGCCAGGCTGCAGCTGAGCGGGGACGTGCCCGCTTTCAGGGACCGGGATGTTCCTCCTCCTCCTCTTGCTAGGTGAGTGCCTTGGGAAGGGCCGGAGTTTGGATGACCCCAGGGCAAGCAGAGCGCTGCGTCCCGTGAGGACTCCGGTTCCGATCCGTGATCCCTAGGCTGCCCGTGGGGTGAGCCCTTTGCTCGGCCTCCGTCTCCCTGCCGCGAATAAGCGCTTCTGGTCGCCGAGGACCGCCCAGAAGGCCCTTGAAAATGCCTCTCACATCTGGGCCCTGGAGCAGGACTGGGGTGGGGTGGGGGTGGGGTGGAGGTATCCCGGTAGAGTTTGACCCGCGGAATGGCGTGATGTGAAGAGCCTTTGGGGTGTGTGTGGGGGGGGGATTTAGTTTCTGGAGTATCTAGCGGAGCTGAAAAATCAGATAAGGAAAGATTTGTCAAGGAATTTTTGTGCCAGGTTCCTCCTGGCTGGGGGAGTGGGAGGGGGAAGGGACACGCGTTTTTGTTTCAAACAGGCGCGCCTCGGAGGGCTCCGATTGGAAACAGATGTGTTACTGAAGAGTCGGAGGAAAGGAGTGGGGAAGGAGGCAGGGGAGGAGAGAGGAGAGGGGAGACGACGGGAGAAAGCTGCAGAGCTCCTCCAAGGCTGGGAGGCGCCCTGGCTGCAAGTGGCCCCCGGAGAAGGAAGGAAGGAGGAGAGAGAAAGGGCTGGGAAGGCGAGAGAAGAGGAGAAAGAGAACAAGAGAACAGGAATAGGAATCAGAAAAGCTAGACAGAGGACTTAGCAAAGGGAGTGTGAAGGGACAGGAAAATGGGAACTGGAGCGAGTGCGGCTCTTCTATGAATACAGGGCTGGGGCTCAGAATGTCTCCTGGGAGTGTCATCCAGGGAGGACTCCCCGGGCCCCAGAAGGCGGATGCCCTGGCCTGGAGCAGGCAGGTTTACCTGATGCTGACCATCTGGGATGCATGGCGTGCTGGGGCTCACTGGAGGTGATCTCTGGGCATCTGTGGGCTGTGGGGCAGGTAGAAAAAGATGAGAACAAGTCCTGATATGCAGTGGCTGGGCCTGAAAGCGGGGGCCAAGGTCAGCCTGGTTCAGAAGGTCCAAGAGTCGGTGAGCAGGGGTGGAGAGCAAGAACTGCCTGGACCTCCAGGCCGCTGGAGAGTGACTGCAGGCTCAGGACTGGTGAGCCGGTGGCCCTGGACAACTCCCTCACTGTCCAGAGATTCTGCAACAGGAAACTAGGTGGTCCCTAAATCTCTTCTAGCTCTGACAGCTTGCTCCCCCCCCCCCCGGGAGTTTGAGCTAGGCTGATGTCTAGGAGCACCAGGGACCAGTAAAGGGAGGACACCGGGCAATGTGTAGCTTACATTGTCTGTCTTGTTTCTTTTGGAAACTTTACAGATCAGCCAGAACATGAGCACATGTGTCTGGGCCACCCCCCAGCTGCTGGTCACCCAAGTCAGAGGAGCCAAAGACAGAATGACCTAAGCTGCTTACAGTAGGACAACTAGGGAGGTTCTGTTTGCTAAGCCCTTTCAGATACTAGCCAGGTACTGCAGTGCTGTTGCTGTGCACATCTAGCATAGCTGGGTGGCACCATCTTCGCTGTCACCGGCGTCTTACCCTAAGCGTGACACTCAGGTGTTCTGTGCAATCAAATGTCCAGGCTGCCTTGTCAAAAAGTAGCATTCCTGCAAATCCCTTTTATGCCTTGTTTCATGTGTGGCGTCTCTTAAGTCATTTATTCTTCACACCAACACTATTGGCTACCAGTTGTCGTTATTCTCATTTTATAGTTGAGAAAATCATGATATAAAGAGTTCAGCGCCTTGTGTTGGCAGTTAGCAGAAGTGAAATTGGTACAGCGGGGTCCCTGTTTAGAGTGGGAAGAGAGAGCGACTTTGGTCCCCATGGTCAGTTGAAGTCATGTGGTCATGTGGCATGACAGGATGTAAGCCAGGTAATGGTCACATTCTTAGTTAAGAAGAAAGGAGAAACTGAGCTTGACAAGGTTTGCAAAGTGTCAGCGATTTGCCAGCTCATCCTTACCGAGCGCCTACTATGTGCAAGTGTGCATCTGCTGTTTGACAAGCTTATCAGGTGGCTACTCTGCTACAGCATAGCAGCTCCCACTTGTGGTTTACTTTTTGGATCTGGCTTTGTGCAGCCACGGCGGGCAGTGTCAAGCAGCAAGTTAGGCTGTCAGTTTGTATGCTTGTGTCCCCTATCAGATAGCTAGTTCGAGTCCCAGCTCCTCCACTTTTCATCCAGCTTCCTGTTAATGGGTCTGTTGTTCTCTTTCTTACAGCGGCACAAGCATTGGGGTCCCTCCCTATGTGGGAGACCCGCATGTTGGCATTGCTTTAGCCTGGTTCAGTACCAGCTAATGTGGACATTTGAGGAGTGAGTTAGGGAATGAAAGATTCTCCCCCTCCCTTCTCTCACTGTCTCTTCCTCTTTTTGTCACTCTGCCTTTCAAATAAATAAATGTACACTAAATGCTGAGCAGAAAAGAGGACTGCTGATGGAATTTTACAGCACTAGGTTTTCATCCTTCATGCCCCCTCTTAAGCTGTCACCATGTCTTGGGCCTTTGTCAGGCATCCTCAGGCTCATGACATTCTGGCTTTGAGTGGATTTATTTGTTCAAATAAGAGACTGGCAGTAAGGGAGGGCACTGAGTAAACTGACACCCCTGCATGGGCCCAAAGAGGCCCAAAGGGAAGGCGGTGCTGTGGGACGGTTTAGCCTTTGCAAAGTGGTTTGGGGAGACCTGCAGAGTTAACCACTCTTAACGGTGTGGAGCTTCTGATCAGGGCAAGCACAGGATTTGACATCCTGTTCTTTGCTCTACAGGTTGAGGAGTTGGTGGGACTGAGGCAGTACAGAGCCTAAAACAAGATGAGCCCGTTGACTGCATGCTCGCTTGGCCTGGCTCTGTGATGTGAATGGACAGGAATGCTCTGAGAGTTCAGTGGAAGGGAGAACGTGGGGGTCTCTGTCAACCTGCCTGCTGTCCAGGCCCTTAGTAGTTCCATCTTCCTTCCTCCTCCCGTCTTCTGTGGTAGCTGCCACAATATGTCTCCTGCCTGGTCCCTCTTCACCCTGCACACTGCCACCAGAGTGACCTTTTGAGGCAGCTGGTACGAGGTAAAAAGCTTGGCTTCAGGAGCCTGGCAGGCTCTCTGTGTTCTTCTGAGTCGTTTGTCTCAAAAAAGGAGTTAGTGGTGGAGGATCTTGAATTCAGTTTCTGTAATTCTGCATTCATTCTTCTGCCTTCCAAAAACCTTCACTAGGCTTCCTAGCTTTTATGATTGCGAACCAGCCCTTCATTCCCATAGTAAGGGTTTTATAGTTGTAATAATTCAAAACTCTCCTCATTCCTGGATAACTCTCCAGGGAATGTGAATTATTTTCGGTGCCCTAATTCTTTCTGATTCTATGTTTTTGCCCTTTTTTTTTTTTGCCCACCACCAAAAATGCCATCATACTCCCCACCCTCCAGGTGTTACCCCTAATACCACTTCCTTTATGAACGTGTTCACCGTTTCACCTGTGGATCCCCTCTTTATTTGCTTCCTTGCAATTCCAGTAGCCTTCCTGTAATGCAGTGATGATTCACAGGGTTATCTAATGCTCCCATTAGTGTGCAAGCTCCTGGAACACAGAGATTGGGTCTCATTCATCTGTATATTATCTTTGGTACTGCACTAAGAACCTATGCATTTTTTCTTAAAAGAGAATTAAATTTTTGAAACATTTAAGGTTAAGAGATGTGTAAGGTTTGGAGCATTCCTGCTGCTTGACTGTGAGACAACACAAAGGTGAGGATCCCAGTTTTTGGTTCCACTTGCACCTCTGCTGCCTTGTCCATTGACTCAAACAGCACGAGTGCTTTGTAAAAATACATAGAACGTTACAGGGGCATGGACCTGATAATAGAGTGGGGCTTCACCAAGTCTGTGGGACATTTATGTTATTCTAAGTCCCTTTTCCTAGAACATTTTGAAGCTGTCTTATAATTTGTTACATAAACTTACTGTGTTGTATTGAATGTGTTTGGTCTGGATTACCAATAGATTTTATCACAGAAACTTTTGCCAATGTGAGGAAAGAGCTTGATTTTCCATAAAATGAGTTTGAGGAACTTGAATGTGTAGTCCATTGGTCTGTAGCATAAAAACAGGTCTCAGTGGAGTTCCATATCCTTCCTTCATTTTCCTACGTTGATGGTGGTGGTCATAATAATGATATGTCCCCAGTGGGCTCATTCCTGTCTCATTCTGTTTTTGTCTTGTGCTCAGCCAGACAGTGTACACATAAGTGTCTTTCATGAACATATCTAATGGTAATGAACTAGACAGACTTTTTAAAGGTAGAGTTGAAGACTATCAGAACTGGGGAAAAGCTAAGAAACTAAATTAATGATTCTAATAATTTTGAATCATAAACACCTCTGAAAATCTGGTAAAAAAATATGAACCCATTTCTTAGAAGAAGAAATACACACACACACACACACACACACACACACATAATTTTGCCAGTAATTTCTGAGTGCTCATTGGCTTCTGGATCTGCTTCCTAGGAACTCAAGTTAATCCTTAATCTAAACTTAATTTTGTGTTATGATGAAGAAGAAACCAGAGTTCAGAGATATTTGTCTTGGGTGATAGAATATGTTCAGGAGAATGGCTCTCTCCTCCCTTCAGCTCATGGAATAAGCATCAAGATCCCAGTTGCTCTTCCCATGCTTCAGCTAAATGAGCTCAACAGTGAATAATTGGCATAGCTTTTTATGTTGAGAAATTGCCTGAAAATAGGGCAGATGTCGTAACAGTTTAATTTAGCCATCATAACTGGAAATTCTGGAAACTTCTGTGGTGTCATGTATAGCGTCTGCTATGTTCAAGATAAGGGAATTGGTACTCTAAGCCCTAAAGGTTGAGTGTGCTTGTGTAAGAAGCAGGACTACACATGAATAATTCCAGGTCCTTCATCATTTTGCTGGGCTATCCCAGGCACATGAAACCACTCTGAGCTTCAGTTTCTGCCTTTGT